TTCAAGTTAACATATAAGTGCTTCAGGTTAAATAACTTCATCCTTAAGTAAAGACGTTGTATATTTAAGAATTAGATACTGTATACATCCATGTGAGTAAGTGCTCAGAACTTGGGCTGGCAGGCCACACACCAGATAGCTAACAGGAGTTACACCGAGTAGTGATGGTGGAAGAAGAGGGGAGAGGAGAAAGGGTGGTGGGGGGCTTTAAACAACATTTTTGTTTAAACACTAAATGACAGCCAGGCACAGTGGCGCATGCCTGTAATCACAGCGACTTGGGAGGCTGAGGCAGGAGGACTGCAAGTTTGAGACCAACCTTAGCAACTTCTGAGGCCCTAAGGACTTAGCAAGATCCTGTCTCAAAGTAAAAATAAACAAACATAAAAAAATTAAAAAAGAAAAGGGGGCTAGGAATGTGGCTCAGTAGTTACGTGATCTTGGGTTCAATCCTTGATGCCCAAAGTGGGACGGCGGGGCAGGGGAATGAGTATACACACACTCCTTAATTACATTCCAATAAACCCATTGTGATTTGGAAATATCATACATTAAACAATGCATGGCATACTCCCCACTTACAGGGCATCGTAGCTTAGCCACATAGTATACTGCAGAGTGTCGGTTGTTGGCCCGCCTGTTCCAGGGGCTGACTGGGAGCTGCGGTTCATCACCACTGTCCAGCATCCAGAGAGCATCAGACCACTTATCACTGGCCCAGAAAGAGATCAAAATTCAAAATTCCAAGCACAGTTTAAACTGAATGCTTTTGCTTTCACACCATGATAAAGCTAAAAGATTGTAAATGGAATCACTGTAAGTTAGGTGCTGTCAGTAAACTGATGTGAGAACCATAAAAAAATTCCTTATGAAGGTGAGGTATCTCAAGGTGAAACTTCTAGAGGGCAGGATGTCTCCTGCCTCCCTATATTCCTGGCACACCTCTACCCAGGTGCTGACCTAACCTGAAAATGCTATAGAAATTCCCTCTATAATTATATTTATCTAGCTGGGGAAATTGTATTTGCTAAGGAATAAATCTTTTGCAGGATCTTTTGTGATTTGAACTTTATGTGATTTTTTTTTTTTTCCCTCCAGAGCTGGGAGCGGAACCCAGGGCCTCACCTTTGATAGGCAAGAGCTCTGCTCCTGAGCTCTACCTACAGCCCTACATGATTCTTAAATGAGAGTGTTTTAAATTACTTCCTGTTACAGTGAACCTGAAAGGTATATAGGCTTTCCTCCTTTTGGCAAATGAAGAACTGTAACAGAAAGATGAAAGGTGTCTTTTCAAGATCTTAGGACAGCACATAACAAAGGGTAGAAACTGTTGTTATGATATTAGCATCCCAACTACATATTCCTTTCTGATCCAACTCATGATTGTTTTAGTGTCTGACTAGATCTCTGTAAATTTTTTGTTTCCTAAATATTCTGGAATCTTAAAGTAATATCTATTCGCTAGTCAGGACTGGGAACAGATGAGAAGGGCTATGGGTTCTTCCTGTCTTCCAGGGCCTTCTGAGAAGGTTCTCCTCTGGGTTCTTCAAGGTTCATCCACCCAAGGCTTAGTTATGCTACCTACCCAAACAGCTTCGGAGATAATGTTTGGGACTGAGGTGAGTGTTCTCAGTCACTGATGGTGGCTAATAGAGGGTGGGAACACACAGGGAAATGACCCACTGTGGGAAATCCTAGAGAAAATCTGTTGATCCAGGTGCAGTGGGCCCTGACTGTAATCCCAGCAGCTTGGGAGGCTAAGGCAGGAGGATCGCAAGTTCAAGGTTAGCCTCTGCAATTTAGTAGGGCCCCAAAAAACTTAGCAAGACCCTGTCTCAAGACAAAAAAAAAAAAATTGAAAAGGGCTAGGGATGATGTAACTCAGTGGTATAGAATCCTTGGGTTCAATCCCCAGTACCAGAGAGAGAGAGAGAGAGAGAGAGAGAGAGAGAGAG